CCAGAGAGTCACAAGTCCCAGGACTTCTGCATAGTATCTGCAAAAAAAAAAAAAGCCTTACACTTTCCTACCCATCACAAATGAAATTTAAGTGGTATTTTCCTTTAGGGACAAAAATGCACTAGTTTCTGTAGTTTCTGGTTAGGATGCAAGATTTGTTACAAAAACAAAATACCAACCAGTTTTTACTGTTGATCTATAAAGACAGAATAAAGGGCTCCAAACATTTTTTTCCCCACTCTTCACCTTAGAGTGGGAAAATTAGACCTTAAATCAGACTTATTTTGACATGCTTTCTTCAAATACTGATTGTTCCGTTTTGTAATTTGTGTTCTTYTTATATAGTTAGACCTTCCTGTAAGGTCTCCTTAAGCACCAGCTCCAGCCTGAACATATGAAAAACTCCACAGAGATTCCCATGCAAGAAGCTCCCAGGCCCAGGCCAAGCCTCCCTAAGGAAGCAGGACGCACGGAGCGCCCAGGGCCCGATCCCTTGGTGCTCCCCAGCTCGCTAACRGCGCACGGCAAAACCCACTCTGGGCAGGTGGAAGCTGAGCCACTGACGCTGCCCTGTTAAGAAGGGCCCCACAAAGGCAGAGAACTCTGCACGAGGCCACCAAAGAGCTGGTGGCCTCCATTTGATGACTAGGACTGGGTCTGATGTGACACATCACAAGTCCCTTACTGATCCTCTAGAACCAACGACTCAAGTAGAAGACTTCAACACAASAAGTTATGACTTTGAACACCACTTCCAGGAATTAATGTGCTTGCATCATTGCTAAAGACCACTACAGACTTCTATGTCTTGTCTTTACAAATGAGGTGATATSAGAATTATTTCTTTGCTAAACAACACTAAGCTTCTCCATAAAATTAAGCAATTCTTTTTATGCAAATAGTTTCTATGGCTTAGCAATTTACCACTCACTACCTTTAAAATGATATACACTCACTGACAAACAATTAAGGCCCATAAACTGATATTACAAATTCCAAATAATCAACCTGCCTTTCCAAAAATAGACCTTTCCAGAAGCCTTTGGGTTATATTGCAGCTCTTACAGACAAATTSCCTGTCTGTAGTTTTAAAGTGAGTTTGTGGTAGGCATCTGCTGTCATGTTACCAACCCGAGCATTTGCAGCCCAGGGCTTGGTGCTCACCTTGACATTACTGCTTCCTGAATCAAGTCTTCACTAAATATGTTATGTCAATGTCATCATTACCCAGCACAAGAGACTGAACTATTGAACGGTCCGGCCACAATGAGAGAATTCAGCTGYGTGCCACCAGGCCTAGTGCAGCTGGCATCTGAAAACGTTCCGGAGGAAGCAGCGATTGCTCTGCTCGTGTCCATTTAAAGGCTACCCAGTCGGAGAGACATCAAATGAGGGGACGGTTCCAAACTCCCCTCCGTGGCAGGGGCTCGCCAAGCGCAGCAGCAATTAGCCATTCCTCTCACCTCTCCCGGGCTCTGTGCAAAGTCTCAGAACTCGCCTTACAAATTGCTCTTTTGAAGATCAAAGCGGAGCCGAATTTGTCGCCGCGCTCTCCAGGAGCCGGGAGTTTAATGGTGTTTCCGGGCGGGCTCGGCCGCGCGCCGCAGCCCCGGGGCGCAGGATTCAGGGGAGCTCCRCGGCTCTCCCCTTCCCAGCTCCTTCCTTGCCTTTAATTGGCACCTCATTAGAAATTAATGAGAATGACATCCGCTCTTCTTCCTGCTCGAGGCACAGAACGCTACAAAGAGGCCCATCACAGTTTGCACCACATTCAATTTATACAGCAGCGGCTCTTCAGCATTATTTATGAGATGTGAATTTCTTGTCAGCAGCTAATAACTYGTACAAAGTAGAAGCAGAACGAGAAAAGATCCTGCGAGCGCCTGTGCGCGTGTGTCTGAAGATGAGCAAATCTTTCAGCAGCTGCAAAGCGTGTCAGGGTCTAAAGAGCCCTCCGTGAGCTCCCCTCTCAGGGCCAGGCTGCTTCTCCCTCACACCAAAGCCCTGCGGCACCAGCAAATCTGCCCGAGCAAGCGCCCCTGGGCAGATGCCACCAGGGGCAGGATCCAGCACAGCAGGGTTTGCCCTAGGTGAAAATTTAAGACTTCTCCCCACCCCTTGCTAAAACGTTGGGCCCCACGGGACAAGATAGAAGGAAATACCGAGTCCGGACAACGTGTCTTATTGAACCTGCATTAACTGCGCCACAAGCCTAACAAGCTCTAGCTCCCACCTTCAGTTCATGCTGCCTGCTAATCTGATAACCAACAATTCTTCCTTTCTTCCAGACTTTACCCTTTACAAGAGCAATCACGGAAGACCCACCCAGAAAAGCATGGAAAAAGAAATGTTGTGGGAGTAGATTTGCTAAGGAGAGAAGCAGGGACAGAGCTGCCTTTCCAGGGAACCACAAGTCATGGCTTGAGTTGGCCCTTTAGTAGCTGCACCTTAACTTTCCTAATYTGAATGGAAAAAAGCAACATGCACAAGCTTAGCTTGAAATAAAATCAAAGTGAAAAATGATTTGGTACAGACTAGAAGAGTTTTTTGCATGCGCAACAGAGATAGGATTTATGTCAAAATAGCCCATTTTTTTCTCTCCATAGTGATGATGAATAGAAGATTTGGATGTAATTTGTTGGCTGCTGTGTCCGCAGGTCACACTGGGATAACACACACCAGTTCAGCTACTTTAAGAGCATGTTCGAAGTGCACGGAATTTCTTTTCCACTGACCGTCTCACTAAATATCTCCTGAAAAGAGTCGCCAGGACACATCAGCAGACAGGATGATTCTAAGGCTGGGCCAAGAAAATGTGTATTAGCAAACACTGCAGTTGCTCTGCGCAGCCCGACAGAGCTAATTTGGATTTTATCACCAGAGTTTCAGATACGGTCTTGGGCCACCAGATGCAACTAAGCATCCTTGCATCCCTGCAGACAACATATTTCTCCTGAACGGTGTGGTCTCTGCCTTTTATCAAGCACTATTGTCAAGATTTCTTTTTGTGTTTAAAACTGAACTTTCTCCCTTTGCTTCAGTTAAGGATTAAAATGCCAGGAATTCATTATAACAGTTCTTCATAGTCCACATTCAATAACATTAAYACCTTACCTACCTTAACTATTACTTTATAAGAATGTGGATATTTATTTATATCAGTTATTTGTCATAATTAAAAATCTTCTAGCTAAAAACATGCCACCTGTATTTTTGTTTGACAAAATAACTTGATGAGCATTGCACTTAGAAAGCCATTTAAATAAATGAGAATTTTCAACATACTTATTTTGGCCCCTTCTTCCCCAAGCCTCCCCCAGGGCTTTTCATTTGGCTGGTCTGTCACGACCTGAAGCAGCCTCTTTTTTCAGACAGGCRGGTGAAGTTGTTAGAATAGAAAAGCGATTCAGGGCTGATGCGTTTTGCTCAGTGGTAGAGCTTTGTTCGCCTGCTTTCAACAGCAACACCAGTATTAGTGCAGATTGTGCTTAGCTTCATATCACTCAAGTGTATTTTGCTACAGATAACACATATACACTGAATATTGCATTAAGGAAACGTTAGAGCTGCACAGATAAACCAAGTCTCCAGTCCTTTTGGCCATGTTGTAAACATGGGATTAGACTCCAGCCTCCCACTTCTCTCATTAAATGTGTAGAATGGAAATGTTTATTATAAATCCTTTAAGCTATACAGAATTTAGTAAGTATGTGCACAAATGCAAATCTTCATTCCTTCACTTATTTCTGAGGAAGAGAGTGTATTTTGCTTTACTTCATGTTTTATTAACTCATTTTATGAACTTTAAATCTAAGAGAACATTTCCATAATGTTGCAAATATCCAGTGGAAACAATTTAAAGAATTATTTCAACAGCATTTGTATTGGAAAAATGTTGAATTATGTAACTACTTCAAGGAAACTTGAGAGGGACCAACTAGCTGTATTTTTTATCCATCTGAGAAGGGAAATAAAAAAGGCATCTCTCATTTCATAAATTTTAAAAACATTACTAATTAATGGAATGAGTTTTTAAAAGTTATTTTCAACTTCATGACTCTTCCATTGCAGTTTTACTGTCTTGCTTTTAAGTAAGAAGTAAGTACTTGCTTTAAGTAAGTTTTACTGTCTTGGCATTTAAGGGGAAAACAAAAACACCCCTTACTTCATGGCGAGCTATAGGGTGAAGGAGGAAGGTGATGTGCATTTTTGCCAACTGCAGCTGCTAGTCTCTGCATAGAAAGTTTGCTTGYCAATGTCGGAATATGAAGATAATAAGCATTATGCTTTTATCATGTTTGCTGACATCAATATGAAATCATTTAAAAGAAAGCTCAGACTCAGCAGAGTGCTGAAAAGATTAATGACATAAGATAACCAGGTCATTTCTGGCTCCCACTTCCCCCAAACTTTTAACCCTCCCTTGTTGCCCCTGCTGGGCAGCATTCTGCCATGGCGGGGCAGCGCAGCCACATGGAGGGCGGCCCCGAAGGGACCCCACGCACCAGCTGCGGCGCCAGGAACTGCGCACGGCCAACTCAGCGGGATAATTTTACACGAGCAGTGAGGAATAACTCTTTTCTGATTGTTTTTACCCATTCTGTTGATTGGGAGAAGGAAAATATTTTCAGTTAGAAAAAAAAAAAGGGTTGCCACCTTTGCCTGTTTACTGCTGTGCTTCGTGTTTTCGTGTTTCTTCTCCTGCCTGGTGAGCATGACACTCGCTCCCCGACCTTGCAGGAATTTCTGACTCTAAATTCATTGATGTTTGAGGAACATTTAAGATTTCTTTAGGCGAAGCATCACATTAGGGCTAAAGTTATGAAGTAGAAATTAGACAGAGAGGAATGAACCAGGACTTTTTGCTACCAGTGGAAGGAAGATAGAGCTTCTGCTGAAAATACCCATGAGAGAGAGAAGTGCTTCTCGTACCTCCATCTGTGACACGGATCAGACGCTGCTGCGTTAGGAAGCCAGACGTCCCTGCCCACAGTACTCACCACAGCGACACGATCCCAGTTCCTGCTGTACTAGCTCCAGTTTTGTTTGGCACTGGAAGCACCGGCGTCTACTCTTCTGTTTGGATCGACTGGTTTCCTCAGGCCTGTCATTACTGTCATCCAGTAGCCGTGGCCGTTTCACAGGAGAAGCCTCACTCTCCGACTGTGAATCTGTTGTGTTCACAACAAACATTACAGGAGAAAATATTAGAACTTCCTTGGAGACATCCCTTTGCACAGCTTCCAGCTRGGGTTGCAGCATCGTGCTTCTAGGTCTATCACATGTATGCGTTATTATCATTAATTTTAATGCATTAAAATGGACATCGAGTAAGGGATCAATTGCTTAYGTTCCCCACAAGAACCGCTCGCGGCTCACAGTACTGGACAGGAAATGAACTGTGCAACCTTCCCCCAGCCGCGCCGGGAACGCGCACGGATGCGCCCTTGAAAACTGCAGCCTTCTTTTGTCATCTCTTTTCTCCTCCCCTCYGGGGCTCTGTGACCCCCGACCCACGCGGCGAGGCGCCGGGCACCGGCCGTGCCGCGCTGCCCTGTGCAGGGCAGGGGCCGCAGAGCCCCGGCCCCCGGCTGCGTCTGCGGCGGCCGACGGCACCAGGGCCTGCAAGCCTCCCCTCCGACACGGGTAGCCATTCCAATGCAAACTAGCATGCCACAAAGCATAAAATGAACCCAACCTGTACATGCATGCTATAACTTTAAAGTATTGAGCCATTTTGAAAAGAAAAAGAAAAACTGCCACCACTTTTTGCATTAATAGCTTCATTTATATAAATTTCTGCCTACGAGAAAATGGCACCTGGAAAATACACTTCTCAGAAGATACAAACCAGTGGGTGCTCTCTTGAGGAAAAGCAAGTAAACTGGTGATCCGCTTGGGATCTTTTTGTCGTGATTACACATTACCAAGAAGATGGTACAGAAACGTTCAAGCTCAGGAACCCAAACTCCTGTCACTCGTGGACTGCCCCTCCAAACATTCACTCGCTCCTTTCCTTCCTTTCCTTCCCTTCCTTCTGAAGCTGAGGTTCCTGGAAGCACCGGCTGTGCAGCTTGGGGCTTTCACACCAACAACCCTGGGGCCGTGTCTCCAGGACAGGGCCCTGGGCACCTGAAGCAGCCTGTGGGGCAGAGCCACCCCCTTCAGGAGGTGCCTGAGGCTGAACAGGCGCCTCCCTTCCCAAGGCCAGGCACAGCGAATCCAATCGGCATCTCCCTTTAATATAGACTGAGAGGGAGCTCAGTCCCAGCTGCACTAGGAACTGCTCGTGTCAGTGCTGCAAGGAGGCCAAGTACCCAAAGTCATTACTGCAGAGGGAGCACTTGAGTGCAAAACGGAGAGCAAAAGCCAGTTTTGTTTCAGTTACACCCATTTTAAAGAATATTTTAAAAAGCTCTTAGCATGATTTTAGATTTCCATTGCAGTGTCCTGTGCTTATGCAAAGCATTTCTACTTTGTGTTATTTGATCTGTTTCTAAAGGAAAATTTTAAAACATTAGCTGAAGTTTTAATATTAAGCCTACAAATATTTTCATAAAGTTAACAAATATCTCAAGTAGGCTGCAATGCTGGAGCTCAAGAACAGAACCCTCTTCCAGGCAGTGCTCTGCACACTGCCCTAGTTAAAGTTATCCCCCTCTTCRTAATTTCCATGAATCCATGTGATCCATGATTATCCGTGCCATGCCTCGCACCCGCGCCCAGGATCTCTGTAGGGGCAGGAGCAGCTGGTGCGGGAGCAGCCGGTGGCCACCCCTGCTCCAGGACGAGCCTGTGCTGCTTCCTTGCATCAATTTAACKACCCGCTCTTCTTACCCACGTCTCCGCTGTCATCTCCGTTTATCCAGTTGCTGGGCCCTGCCGCGGTGCTGATCCAGGCCCCCCGATGCTATCRGTGCCCTGAGCCGCTCTGGCTGTGCAGCCTGCCTTGCGCGGGGCTGCTCCCGCCTTCCCACGGCTCTCTAGACGCGCTGAACACACACCTGCCTCGCTGACTCGCGCTGAGCCCCCACATCTCGCACGTTACAGCCAACTGAGCTGCTTTCCGCACGGTTGGCACATGACAGAGCTACTGCAGCTTCATCATAACCGTCCTGACGCGTGCCTCGGTACAGCCTGCCTTCCCAGCCCTGCCACGGACCCCAGCACCACGCCAGGGCTACAGCAACCTGCGGCGGGCAGCGTGCTGCAACCCAGAGCAGCAACCGCGGCCGAACCCAGGCGCAGCAGAGAAGGAACCGCCTCGAGAACMAAAGCAATCACTGACACCGTCCTGAATCCTGTCTTACCTCAAACCTGCAGAGGACGATCCGACAGGAATCCAACAGGAGCGCAGGGCCACGCAAGGGACACTCATGCACGGGGCAGCCCGCGCGCCCGGCAGCCGCCTCGCTGCGTGCTCACTCGGGGAACTGCTGCTACTGCTGCCCACCTCCTGCACGCCTCTGCTGCAGGAACCACAAACTCGGGGCCTCCTCGGAAGCAAACGTGACAGCCTAACCAAAGCCAGTGGAAAACCTGGCAGTGTGTTTGTTATAGAGTCCAAATAAGGCCTTTCTGTGTATGAGCCACGCGCTGTCCGAGCAGCTAATGGGGCCATGCAAAGCTTTCCGCAAGGAGAGAACCTGCTACCCCACACCCGGCTAGCAGACACCTAATTAGAATGTTTAATTACAAATTTCCTGTTCAGTACCAAGGACTACTTGAATATTAATGTAAGTTGGCTAACATGACAGAAATTATACATTAGATATCTGATTTTTAAATGCATATTCTTGCCATAAATTAAACGGAGCTAACACAGAAGTAAGTGGGGCTCACTCTCCGGGTTGGTGTCAGTTCCTGGACGCAAGCRCAGGCTCCTCCTTGTTACAGGACTGAACATGCCTACAGCTCCTCATGGAAAACATTATGGAATGAGGTCAGGACAAAGATATAAATCAGAAATCAGAACTCCTGGATTCAATGCAGTGTGCATTTCTTCCCTGCTAAAATAGTGACACAAAATAAATCTTTCAGTACCTGGAATTTAGCAATGTTAAACCTCAGAGAGTTGACAGCAAATGGAAACTACTCTTTCTTTACTACCTGGGCTGCAGACCAGCAGACACATTCACTGGTATCAGGCAGGGTCCCAGCAACAGGGCAGAGGGTTTGACCGGAGACAAGAGCGAGCCCTGAGCACGAGTTCCCAAACAGCCAGGAACGGCTACGGGAGAGGCGATTCCTTCAGCCAACAACAGGCTTTTCCTTGGCACGGTGATTCACACAACAGGAACGACTTTTTGCTTTTATGAAACACATTTTCACTCTCAAAATGCATTTTAGCATCACTCCTAAACCAGAAACTTTTGGGTGGGGAGCAAGGGAGCCGTAAGGCTCACAGGGAGGAAAGTGCTGAGCAACGTAACAGGGCTGGGGAAAACCAYGGAACAGCAGCAGCCAAGGAAGCTCCTCCTCTGCTGCTCACTTCCAAGCACGGGATGAATCTCTGTCCTGTGATTAGAGGGCAGCTTTTGAGGCTCTCCATCACTTTTCTCTCCTTTTTCCACGCAGGGCCCATCACACGGACGGGCTGACCCACGTTCCCGTCTCAGCTGCCTTGGCAGTAATCGGCCCACGTGGCGCTGCCGCCTCCCTCGCACCCCCTATGGGGAGCCCCAGCCCCCCAAGCCCTGCAGGGCAGGAAGCTCAGGGGCCACGGGCAGCAACTACAAAACAGCAGATAACTCCCTTGAGAAAACCTTGGGGCTCTCTAGGTTTCTTTTTCCCATTTTCCCATCTTTAAAGGAGGGATTGCTCAACTCCCCGGCACGGTGACGCTGCATCAGAAATTTCCTCTGAGAGGAAATCACCTCCCTAACTGGTCTTTCCTATTGCATTTGCTGGAAACATTGTTTAAAATCATCTTTTTTTTTTTTTTTTTTTTTTTTCAAACGAACCCAAAATTAACATAGTTGTTTCAAAAAACTGATGGGCAACCATGGCTGGAAGGGCTCGTGCTCTCAGCCTTGGGAATCCTCCGGACACGTCGCCTCACACGGACGAGTCTCAAAGATTCTTACACAAACCCTCTGCTAAGCTGCCTAACAAAATCCTGATTGTTCAAGCAGTTGCAAAGGGAATTAAGTTTGTCACCTCATGTTTAGGTACCAGCACTAGAACTGTTTGATAGTTAAATTCTTGCATTACTCCATTACCCATATGCTCTCTCTGACTCAAGAGTTAACAGCAAAGCTAAATTTCTTAAACCTTTTTACTTGCATGCACATTCCGACTTGCACAGCCCACCTGATTCCACCAATGCACATGTAAATGTATTCAGGCACCTGTGCTGGAGTAAGGGGCTGCCTTTCGGCCAGCTCGGACACTTTATGAGGCCACAAGCACCCCTAACTTGGCTGATGGGAAGAATAACCCCACCAAACAGCTTGGAGGAACAGAAAACCTAGGTCCAGGATGAAGTTTAAAAGAAGGACAAGGGCAGACTTGTAGAGACAGTTAAAGCCTGACAATAAGTAACATTCTAGGAGGTGGCCTAAATAATCAGAGCAAGATTTTTATGCAAAGGAAGAATGTACAGATAGAGACCTAAAAGGAAAAGGAGAAAGACAAGGAGGAGGAGGAAGAGTTACAGCAAAGCAATACACATGATGAGAAGGGGGAAGAATTTTGCAACAGCTGTGAAGGCGAATCCCGAGCATCCCAGCCATTCAGCGGGGCCTGCACACTACCTATCTGCCCACAAATCCCCATATTCACACATTCAAACGTGTCTGGGCAGGCACAAACAAGCTCATGCTGCCCCTGATAAAACAGGCAATGCAAAAGCAGCCAGTCCCATCCCAGGGTGTTTACCCTGGCTTTAATGAAAGCCCCCTGTGCTCTGTGTAACTCTCGAATATTGCAACGATGAGAAAGAGGTGATGTTGTAAATACCACATATCGGACAGGGAATTGGAGAGGACAGAAATAAGGGAGGCTGCTSTGCCCCGGGCTTCTCCGGAGCGCTGCCCTCCCCAATCCGGCAGCGCTCGGAAAGGCCGTTCTTCAAACTAACAGCCTAAGCCCAGCTCCACACAGAACCCCCGCTCCGTTATCCTTCAGTCGTACGCTGAGTTTTTCCTAGTCCTCCTCTTCCCATGCCGGA